TGTTTCCTGTGAGAAACAAAACACATATTAGCTAGTGATTTGTTCCTCCTGACTGTTGTCTTCATGTCTGCACTCCAGATACCTATCCTCAAATCAAGAACAGAGAAGACTTGCTACAGTTACGTTAATAATGTTCTAAACACATGAAGATCCCTACAGACTTAGAATCAGGGAATGTGCAGCCCGTTCTACCTTAGGAGAGGTAGAGTGAGGGCTTTTCTTCTTGCGATGAACCCATCTAATATGTTCTAGAAACACAGAAGATGTACAATCAATGCTGCTGTTTTTTTCCACTACACAAATCTATGAGCCTTCAATCATGATGGAAAGCAGCTCTTTACCCGGCTTTGTGTTTTCTCTGTTTGTTGTGGGGATGGGGGTTCTGTCTTGACGCCTATCTTGTCAGTAATGCCTCGTGTGCACGCAGAAGTGGGGAGTGGGCTTCTCTGCGTTGCTAAGTTGCCTGTTCTCTCCCAGGTCCCATCAGCAGTATCCTGGTGAATAAGTACGGCAGTCGTCCGGTCATGATGGCTGGTGGCTGCTTGTCTGGCTGTGGCTTGATCGCAGCTTCTTTCTGTAACACCGTTCAGGAGCTTTACGTGTGTATTGGAGTTATTGGAGGTGAGGTGCTACTGGTTTATTTTCAAGCCTTAATTTTTTTTTTTTTGGTGGACTGTTGGTAGCATGGATCTGCCGATTCTTTTGAGAAATAAAATGTCTTTATTAGAAAAATGACTGACTGTTCTTTTTAAGAGCTTTAGGTGTGTTAATTTAAGAGTGCCAGCAAAGCAAACTTTTTATTAAAGACAGTCTAGCGCTTAATTGGCATTATCATTTGTTAAATGAATGAGTTGAAGATTTTTTTGTCCCACCTCCCTTTCTTCTTTTCCTCCCTCACTCCCTCTTTTCCTTTCTTCCATCTAAAGGAAGGTAGCAGTAAAGGACGTGGTGCCCTCAGTTATTTAAAGAGCAGTCATCACTATTCCCAGCCATCACAAACCCCAGACTACCCGAGATGGAACTGGCTCAGAGTGGACTAAGGGAACAGCAGATACAAAGAGCAG